TCCTCGTCAGCCACCATTACCAACAACATGCCAAGCCAACATAACAAGTGGATACCCACTGCCGTGTGGAAAAAACAATGAAAATTTTGATTCAGTTTTCAACAACATATTTGTGCGAAAATTTTCATCTGCCACAGCCATTACAAGTGGGTACCGATCTGGGCTTGAAATAACAACTGCTCTCCGTCATGCAGTTACGTCATTGGAGCCAAAAATACATAAACTTCTTTCAAACAAGCGGGCACAAATATCACGCTAAAAATTTGTAATACTTAAATACGCTTACATTTTGTTGATAATTGAACTACCGTAACTTTAATAATTTTGTTACAATTAACCAACTTTTAGAGTTTGACGATTGAATAAGCCTTTATAATTGTTATAATTAAATAAGCATTTAATTGTTATAATTAAATAAGCATTTAATTGTTATAATTAAATAAGCATTTAATTGTTATAATTAAATAAGCATTTAATTGTTATAATTAAATAAGCATTTAATTGTTATAATTAAATAAGCATTTAATTGTTATAATTAAATAAGCATTTAATTGTTATAATTAAATAAGCATTTAATTGTTATAATTAAATAAGCATTTAATTGTTATAATTAAATAAGCATTTAATTGTTATAGGTGCATTTCATAATAAAATGGAAGTTATTTGATCATTATTTTACATGTTTTTCTTAAAAAAAACATATTAGTAGTCCGCGGGATTTAAAATTATGAATTTAGTGATCCGTGAGGCCCGAAAGGTTGGCGACCGCTGCTCTGGGGTTATTGGGGGCAAATCCACAAGGGCCGTGACGAGGATTCGAACCTGCGTCCGGGAGCATCGCAGAGTTATTGGGGCATTTTTGGGGGTACCCAGTGTGTAGATACGAATCCTCATCATGGCTTCTACTGACACTCTCATTGATGCATCACAATAATGGAGACATTTTTTGTTTATTTCCCCACTCTAATATATAATGGAGCCTCGAGGGCGATTCTTGGTGCCCCAAGAACTGTAGTACAGTAGTAGCAGTGACAACGGTAATGATTAATGGGTTACTATTACTGTTCATTACAACTATATAGTATTTTACCAATATATTTACCACAACCGGGCTGTGGTGGGTATGTGGGCTTGCGGGCTGCTCCAAGCAACAGCCTAGTGGACCAAACTCTCACAAGTCAAGCCTGGCCTCGGGTCGGGCTTGGGGAGTAGAACTACTCCCAGAACCCCATCAACCAGGTATCAACCAGGTACCAACACCCTAATTCTAATAATCACTCGGTTTTAGCGCTTGACGCTTGTCTTTAATTCTAATTAAAAAGCTAGTTTATCACAATTACTCTTATGTCTCTTAAAGCACTTCAGAACCTCACAATTAAATTATGATTAAACTTGGTTTAAAGTTGAAACCTTTGTATATGGGCAGCACAAAACGTCCACCAGAGACTGATTCGGTACTTGATAGGATCTGGTTTGGCTGCATTACCTGTTGCAAGTAGCTGCAGGTACAAACTCTCAATACACGGAGTAATCACACTAACGTGACAGCATCAATGAGAAAATCCGTAGGAGCCGTGATGGTGGTTCAAACCTATGCTTATACCATGTCGTGGTCTAGCCGTCTAGAGCGTGTGCGTGGGAACACCCACCGCATAGGTTTGAACCCTCATCACGGCTCCTACGTATTTTCTCACGAACTCCCAATCCTGAGTACAGCGTGTGAACTCTTTGGGAGAAAACTAGGTCATTAATACTATAGTTTATCAATCAAAACAACAGCATGTTGGACCAAGTTCTCAAGTCTACACTACACAGTGTAGTGTAGTGCAGCGTAACTACTTTAAGGCAGCATCTGGGATGCTCTCGGACGCAGGTTCGAATCCTTGTCACGGCCCTTGTGGATTTGTTCTCAAGTCTAGCCTGGCCCTTCATCCAGGTACAATCCAGGTGGGCCTTTAGATCTGCTGGCAGGTACCAGCAGTTAGGTACCTAACTTTAGAGATTGTCAATTATTGCATTCAGTGTAGGGTTCTAGAAGCTGTTCTTGTAGCCAATCCAAAGTTTGTTGGTGCTGAACTTTCATGCTTGTGTGTGATGAACCATTTTTACGAGGTGGGCTCCATAGTTCAACCCGTCCTCTTGAGTAATACAAGCATTTTGACGTGCAAATCCCCTAAGGCCAAAAATTGATGTACTGATGATGAATCTTAGCGGCTCTCAAAAATTGACGTGTTGTCCCGTTCTCTATTCGCGGGTCCTCGGTTGGACTAGGTTAGGCAATTTAGTACATCAGTTTAGTGACGACGTGAACGCTGGAGAGGACGGGCTGCATAGTTTCATAGCCAGTTCTAGAGTAGTGTAGGAACACTTTTCGCCTGGCGTTGCCTAGATCTGCTTATGTGGCATCCGACATTGGCCTTCCACCTCGGTACTTCCCGTCTGCTCACTCCTAGCACAACTTCCTGATTTTTTTTATATCTCCTCTCCCCGCATTTAACCCGCCCCCCCCCTTCTTCCCATGTCTTACGGGGGTAAGACATTGGGAGAGGGGAATCTCCCAATTCTCCCTCCGTGATGGCGATAGTGACTGCTTGTTGGTGCTTGTCCCCCCCCCAACCCCTGCCCTGGTAGTGTCGACCAGCACACTGCCGTGCATGGAGACTACTGGTCTTGTCTGGCTCCACTAGAGTGAATGGCCACCTCCGCTCGTGCAGGTGTCTGCACTCCGGCTGTTGAACACAATCTCAATGAAAGCCCTTTCCCCTGACCTCCCTTCCACGCTCCTCCCATGAGATTTTTTCTTTGTCTCCAAATTCCTGATTCGTTCCTATGTCCAATACGTTACATAGTGCGCATTAGTGTTACTGACGGAAACAAAATATTTTTCTTAAAACGCTTATTTTAAAGTAAACATACCCAAGTGTTTGCACATCGAAATCACAATTACTTGATGTATGTGATAAAATATTGAGGCAATGCAATAGGATAGAGCTGGCGCCCCTGGACTCCAGACGCGCGCACTACTCGCCGCATGACGATGAGCAACCTCGACCAGAAATTTTACAAGACCTATTGGTATAAATTGAGAGAGACTTTTAGCCCATCGACACGGGAGACATCTCCCGTCACGCAGAGTGCAGTTGCACCTCCACAGATCTCCAGTATCAGCTTTTGATACTGGTAATGGCTCCAAAGGGCCACCACTTACGGGCTATTCATGTCCGTGCCACCTTTTGGGTGGCTTAATCTTCATCAATCAATCTAGCCCATCGTGATTCAGTGGGTAGTGCGTGTGTGGAGCGTACAGGGACGAGAGTTCTATCCCATTCCATTGCCTCAATATTTTCATCTTAGTCTTTTGTTTTCCGTGAATTAACAGTCGGCCAGTCTTGTGCTTGAGACGTTCAAGGACGACCAGGAGCTGGTAGAAATTGTTAACACGTAGGTTACAAGTTGAAAACCCCCTAGTTGAAGACTATACCTTTTGATACCGAGCACTTGTTGATCAGACCACACACTCGAAGGTGAAATTGAAATAAGTTTATTGAGGTAAAATACACACAAAGGGATGAGGTAGCTCAAGCTATTCTCACCCCCGTTCAGTACATCGTGTTAATACATACATAGACACACACAGAAGGTGAAGGGACGACGACGTTTCAGTCCGTCCTGGACCATTCTCAAGTAGATTGTCTCCCCGCCACCGACCACTCGCCCCCAGCTCCAGTCTGTTAAGATGTTGCCAGAAATAGATCCAGTAACTATTCGTTAATGGCTGTTCTTTTAATATTATCGACAATTTACTGCACGTTATTCAGGTATACAAGAACATAGTCATAGTTGACGAGGCGAGGCTGGATAATTGTGTTGGTCGGGAGAGGAGAGAGCGGGGTGCAGGGACGGCCAGTGTTGGGCACCAGGGAAGGGGAGAGGCCAGTTATTACCTGCATTAGAGGATATAATATGTATGAGGGGCTCCTTAACTCGCGGAAGAAAGCTCGTACACCAGCATTTTGAGGGATATTTAAGGATATTATATAATTTGGTTAATGTATAACAAAAGCTCATTGTAATTAAAATTCGTACGCCTGAAAGTTAAACTGAACAGAGTAGTTTAAATTAAATAAATTTGGTGTAAGAAATGGAGCGGGGATTATGTTGACCAGACCAGGGGATTATAGTGGGCTGGGGTGGGGTGGGGGGGGGGGGGATGGGATTCAAATTGTGCGCCTCTTGGTGAGGGGGAACACATGTCGTTTTGCTCATAGTGTGAGCATGGCTTTCCGTCCGCATCATCCATACGATACCTTTAATAGTGAAGAACCTGCCTGTCCTAAGCCTTCCCAACGTCAAAAAACTGTTGTACTAAAGTCCCTTATCCTAACCTAGCAGAGGACCCAAAACAGAAAACGGACAGTACGTAAATTTCGTGAGCCGCTACCATTTTTCTAGCACGAAGATTTTTGGCCTTAGAGTATGCTTCAAAATGCGAGGCTCTATTAGGACAGGTTGGAAGACCACCAAAGAGAGAAAGAAAGATGACAGTATATTTTGTAGATAAGGTTCCGCCTTGTAAGACATTGGTCAGATTTAATATGCTCATGGCTAGTGTGTGTGTAAATATTAACCCTGAGTATCTCCTAGATCCTCAGAGTATCCTAGATACTAGAGTATCTCCTAGAGAACCTCAAGGTAAGCCTCAGGTGCCACCTCAGGTGTGGCACCTGAAATGGCACACTTGATCAGGTAAAATTCCCATCTAAACAATGTTACATACAAGTTCTTCTCCCACATTGTTGTGGGACGTGAGGCGGCGGTTGTCGTACAGACCATACTGTTCATCATCTTGAGATGATGATTGATTGATTGATTTGAGCTAAGCAAATTGTCTAGCTGCATATCACTACCATTGTTTAATATTCAACCAATTAATGTTATTTGTTTACTTAGGTTGAAATAACTTCGTGTATTAATTTACTTTTTTTATAATCTTTTTACAGTCTGGAGGAGACACGGGAGGAACTGGAGGAGTTCCAGAGTGGGAGCCGGGAGCTGGAGGCTGAGCTGGAGGCTCAGCTAGAGCAGACGGAGACTCGTTGCTCCGAGTACCAGTCACAACTCAACCGCCTCGCCCTCGAGAATGACTCCCTAAAGGTAATTCCTCTTTACCGCACTAACAACCCTCCAATGATCCTGAAATGTTCGAATTTGTACTGAATTACGAACATTTGTATTAAAACCTGCTGAGAATGTTTGCTTGAATCTGGATAAGTATATGAAGGCTTATGTGGATGCTCCCAAACCACTTGGGCTGGACGGTAGAGCGACGGTCTTGCTTCATGCAAGTCGGCGTTCAATCCCCGACCTTCCAGGTGGCTGGGGACCATTTCTCCCCCCCCCCCGGTATCTCAAATCCTTATGTTGATCCCCTTCCAAGTGTTATATAGTCGTAATGACTTGAAGCTTTCTCCTGATAATGGCCTTGAATTATGTGGGTGCTTCTAAGCGTTTACGGTCATTGCACATATGTTTGTATGCGTGTATGAAGGTAACTAACTGCATGAGCCAACTGTGGTGGTGCTATAGAGAAGTACACGTGTGTCTTCCACAGCAGCTGTTGCCAACACAGAACACTCTAAGCCTTTCCGAATGCTAGAGTCCGGAGCAGTAAATAGTAATCGACTGTAACAATAAGGACATAGTGATAAAACAGACCATGGGGATAAATTTGACTCCTTAACATTGAATGTAGCAATGGTCTATCTTCCTCCCACTGTAACGTGTCCTCTAAATACAAATGACAGTCGGTGCCCGGTGAATATATTGGTTTTAAATTACATCGTGTAACGAACTTGGGTATTAGTTGTGAATTGTTAAATTCACCTCTAGTTTAGTACATAATTTAACAAAGTTGACCAGACCACACACTAGAAGGTGAAGGGACGATGACGTTTCGGTCCGTCCTGGACCATTCTCAATCGACTAGAGTGGTCCAGGACGGACCGAAACGTCGTCGTCCCTTCACCTTCTAGTGTGTGGTCTGGTCAACATATTTCAGCCACGTTGACTCATCGCCTGCATAATTGTACTAAGATTAGGTTAGTTGTGGTGGTTTTTATCTTAAAGCCAAGTATTAATTCCAGACGTCGATTCTTATCTCGATTGCAGTTTTTTTTCAACCGTTTCCTTTTTAGGTACATCAGATTTCTAATTACATTTTATGTTTGTGGTTCTGAATTTGTTTCCGGGTACTCGTAAGTTTCTTCAGTAGTCTTTAAGGAACTTGCCTGAAAGCACTCGGTGGATGGCTCTGAAACGCTGTAACCTGAAGTGCATCTCTGGCCTAAGAGGTTGGAAGCTCGCCTTGTAGGGTGCGAGGCGTTGTGGGCATACAGCTGCCAGCTGGTGGAGTGCACCACCAAGGCTCCACCTGCTTCACCGCATCACTTCCTCACTTTATCAGGTTTCACTGCTCGGTACAGATAACTTGGGCTTTGTTTTGCTTTTCCAGTTAATTCCTCCTCGGTCATTTTCCTGCAAGTTTTTAATTCGCATCGTCCTGGCTTGTGAAACTAAGAAACACAAGCTGGTATATTTTAATGTTATTGTAAACTTTCTGTGTAAATGTGGATCTTATGTTTTTCTGTTTTTTTTCTGTAATATATTGAGAAATTATCGTATTAAAATATTAACTACTTGGGTAGATGTTAACACTACCCCGTTGCCGTGTACCTCTTCGCCCCAGAACACCTCCCCATCAACCCCCACTCTTGCCCCTAACTCTGACCCGCTAAACATAGCACCATCGTCTCGTCCACCCCACCATCACCCACACTTACCACCAGCCTTTACACACAGCGTACAGTGTACACACACATACGGAGACATATTCCAGAATATTTCATAATGTTTGTTTTGGGATCAGGAAATATTCTTGCATACAAATATTTCTAATGTTTGTATTTTGTAATGTGTGTGATATAGCGAGACCCCATCGATCGGCTGCTAAGGTCGAGTGTGTGTGTGTTACCTTGTTGGTTGTCAGGAGGAAGCTGTGTGTTCTGCACCTCTGGCAGATAGCGGTTGGCTTGTGTAAGTTAGGTAGGTTATCTTGGTGTTCAGAGTATGTGGTAGCTTATCTCTCCTCGCATGTTTCTCGGAACGTTTGTGGCACCTAAGGTGGCACACTTGTCAGAGACCACTTGCTCATCAGTCTCGTGGGGGGGGGGGGTGTCTAATTTTTTCATATTCGCAATCTTCCAACTTTTATTTGTATCCAAAGACTAGGGCTGAGTAGAAAAGACTGATGTTCCTAATGCAACTACAAGCTAGGAGCTGGTATGCTACATTAACTAGTGTAAACCCCACACCCTAGAAAGTGCTCTTGATCGGCTCTTTGTCGTGCCATGTGGTGGTGGTGGTGTCGCTAGGGGGCGCAGCACACAACCTTCTCACTGGAATTAACAACAATGTTGATGGTGCTCTTTCCTGCAGACTGGGAGCTTGTTGGTCGGTTCAGAGGGGGCGCAGGCCCCCCTCTGTGGTAAACTAATTACAGGATTATGTTGGCCCAGCGCACGTGGGGCTTCCCTCCCACATTCTTTGTGTCATTTAGATATCTTATCGATCTTCGCCCTTCTTACGAGGAGGAAACAGTGTTGCCATTATTGTCCCTATTTACTTTTTTACTCCCCGACTTTTTTTTTTTTTTTTTTTTTTTTTTACTTGATAATCCTTATATTCCAGCCGTTACCATTTGTTTGTATGCGCCACGGGGGCTTTTGAAGTTATTGATCCGCCACGTGGTCAGCGTCCGCACGAGTTACACAATACCGGCCTATATTGATCACTGGTTGGTCACTGTCCGTCTCAGCGCTGTATTTTTTGTGCAATTGCTGCCCCAACCAGTGCTAGTGTTATGGTTTTACCGCGCCCTTTTGCTTCCATGGTCTTGCAGGTGTGTTGTGGTGCTCCACCACCACGCCCACTGTCAGGTATTGTGGTCCACCACCACCACGCCCTCGCCTTTACAGAGATGGTCAGGGATCCCAGTTGCATTCATAGATTGTTGGGACTAATTGTGCTAACTTCGCAAGCAATTTTTGAACACGTTTGTGTTATAATAATTCAACATTATATTGTTGAAAGCGTCCACCAAACTGTCATCTTAATCTAGAGGATGAACGTTATAAGAAGTGGATGATTTAAAATGGCAACCAAAATTATATATATATATATTTATAATGTCAATAAAACGTCTTAATGAAAAAGTATTTTAATGTTGGTAATTAGTAGAGGAGGATGAAAGGTGGCTTGTGTCGTTGCGGGAGGTGGCGCCGGCGCCGGAGGGGTGGCGGCTTGATGGTGCCGCCGGAGGGGGGGGCGGTGGCGGGGCTGGAGGGGGGTGGTGGCGGCGCCGGAGGGGGGGGGGGGCGCCGGTGGTGGTGGTGGTGGTGGTGGTGGTCGGTGATGGGCCCTAGTCATGCACAGACCGGCGGCCCAAGCCTAGAGATAATGCTATACTCGGATTAATTCCACACGAAATTGTAACTTTTTGAATTTTCTCATTTATTACGGATTTTCCATTTTGTCTTTTCTTGGACATTATCATTATTCATTTTCCGTTCTCCCGGTGTGATTATTTATAGGGTAAGTGTACCTTATACTCCAGGATATTTTTGGTTTCCTCCCTGGATGATTGTAGGTAAACTTTGGTTTACCACCGCGGAGAGATTATAGCTTGCTGGCTGCTGCATCTATGTTGGGGACGGTAAGTAGAGGGCGAGGGGTTTAATGACTGTTAGGTCCGTAATGACTGCTGAACACACCTTGAACAGTTCCTGGACAAACCCTGGTGAAACCGTCGATTAACAGTCGTTACACGGATGGGTCGTGGCTGACACTGGCTCTAACCGCATGCTGAACCGTGGCTACCAATTGCTACTAGACTGCGCTTCTGGTACTTTCCACAAAATGGCTGGCAGGATTAGGTACAGAAATCCCTGGCGGTATTAATGTTTCAAGATTGCCAGGATGCGACGCGTCCAGCTTGCCTCGACAGGCCATTTTGAGATGTATTCCGAAAATTAGCAGATGTACTAAATGACCTCGGCACCAACCACCATAACAGCAGACGCCTCGTCTTGCATAGAAAGGGTTTTCATGATGTACGACTGAACAGGTACCAGCAGTGACAAGGCTCTCGTTCTTGCCAAGTGGACGGTGTAGTTTATTCCGGTAGTAAGAAGGGCAGGGCAACATCAGCATGTTCAGAGGGCAACATCAGCATGTTCAGAGGGCAACATCAGCATGTTCAGAGGGCAACATACAGGCAAGATCTTCCTTTACCAAGCAGCTGGGGGCTGGAGCAAGACTAATGACGTCCCGGATGATTCCCACAGAACAACTCTACCCATGGCAGCCAACACCTGGGTGACGGAGCTGGTAAATATAATGGTTGTGAGCAGCGATGCACTTACCAAAACGTGTTCGTGTGTGTAGCTCGAACATCGAATGTGCCCATATTGCCGGCCAGTTTGATTAAAAGTTAAAAGCTCAACACACACAAATCACAATAGCGTGATGCATCAAATGAACAAATCCACAAAGCACCAGGTTCGAATCCTCGCCACGGCCCTTGTGGATTTGTTCATTAAAAGCTCAACATTTTGTTGTTACACGTGCTGTTTCTGTTGATCAATTCCACACAGTAACACTATCGCCTGGCGGCCATTTTGTAAGATGGCCGACATGGCCGTCGTGATGGAAACAAGAAGTGCCAGAGTATATAAGATCTGCCTGCAATATATTCCTCTATCTCGAGGCCTAATTGGATGTGTACAACACAAACTGCTTAAGATGATCGCTGCGCTAAACAACTAAGTATGGAGCTGCCAATACTAATCTAATAAATGTGTGTTTCCCCCACACTACTATTATTAATAATGAACTGTGCATGGAGCCAACCCCAGAGGTGTATCGTCAGCACTGTGAACAGTGATCAATTATTTGACAGGACTAAACTAAGAAACCTGTATGACCTTGTACTTTTGTCTTGCAGTACCCGTAAGATATCAGCATACGTTGATGATTATCAGTCAATTCATTTCTTCTTATAACATACCACTGCTATAAATATATGTTCAATGTGTATA